AGATTTGGCTGTGCCTGGTATAGGACGAATTCAGTTACTTAATCGTAAAACAGAACCAACACGTATAACCGGTATTGGAACAAAGTTTACTAAACAGTTCCAAGTTGGCTGGCAGATTGGTCTTCCCAAAGATCGAGGTTCTTCAGAGATAATTCAAATAAAATCAGATACAGAATTGATAGTTAAACGAGAATTCAAAGACTTGAAGTCTCTGGAGATGCTCACTCACCCAGAAGGTACACCTTTTAAATGCATACCTCAGGTTGACCAAACATCCGTGTACAATATTGTCTCCGAAAGATTGAATGCTGGACATTGTGTCGGTATTTTTCCTGAAGGTGGAAGCCACGATCGATCAGAAATATTACCACTTAAAGGTAAATTTTTTGGTACATACTTAATATCATAATTTCATATAAAATTAATCTTACATTAATTATTTACAGCTGGGGTTACTATAATGGCTCTTGGTGCAGTTGCTGCCAATCCAAATTTAAATCTTAAAATTATGCCTTGTGGTAATTTAAAGTTTATTTAAATATTAAGTGTAGCATTTCTTTCTAGATCAAATAACGTATCTGTATTAAATAAAGGGTTGAATTATTTCCATGCTCATTCCTTCCGATCTCGTGCTGTTGTTGAGTTTGGTGCACCTATTTCCATTAATCCTGACTTAGTGGAAAAATATAAACAAGGCGGCTCACCAAAACGGGAGGCTTGCTCAAAATTACTGGAGACCATTTATAACGGATTGAGAGCTGTTACCGTGAATACACCAGATTATGATACATTGATGGTGTGTGTCGTAACGTATATCGGCATTTTTTACAAAAAAAAAAAAGCAATATTAAACAAACAAGAAAAAAAAAAGAATACATAAATATTTTTGTGTTTAATTGGCCTTTAGTTTATTCAAGCTGGACGTCGTCTGTATAGGCCAGCTCACCGCAAGCTACAAATTTCTCAAATTGTAGAATTGAATCGGAGGTTCATCGCTGGCTATGAACATTTTAAAGA